GAAACCGGCTGTATTCCAGCAGGCTGACCACCTCAACTCTCGAGTTGACAGGGCGAATTTCGTGAACCTTCATGATGGATGTGTCTTGCCTTCTTTGCATGTCTTGGCGCCTCCATGTACATCTTCGAGTTCACATGTTTTCACATTCAGTTTGATGATAAGATCACACCATGTGCCGCCTGAACCTGCTCTTTCTCTGCGAAGCTTAGAACTTTGCAACCAGCAACTTCCGACCAAAGCTACTAGGCTCGAGGTATCTTGGAAACCTTGCTTTTGGCCTCCTTTTCTTCGTGTTCATGGCTCGCCTTGGCGCTGGAACCTGGCTTGTAGGCTGGCTGCTCCTGGGCGACGTGGCCGGTACGACGAGTGCACCCTTGCCGGCTCCTGCCCTGCCCGGCTCAGAACATCCTGTTCTACCTGGCCCTGGACTTCATGCTGCAGCTCCTGTACAAGCTCCGGAACAACCTCAAGGACTACCACCTGCTCTACCTGGCCCCGCACTTTCAGTTCTCCCCGGCCCTGGACTTTCTGCTACTACTCCTGTACAAGCTCCGGGACAACCTCCTGTGACAGCATCATCGTCCTCGTCGACTCCTCCCACACCTTCGGTCGGGACTCAACCTACTCTTGGCCAGCCGTCGTCTCCTGCGTGCTCGACGGCTGCTTTAGCTGACCGCTGTGACAACCCTCCAAGTGCACCTGCCACCAATCGGCAGTGGACGGCTGCAGAGGTTGCGATGGTGGCTGCAGAAGCCTGGGGAGAGGTTGAGTGGAGTGGATCCAACACCTACGTCTGTGCGTGGGACGAGAACATCAGCCTTGCCTTGCACAAGGAAACCTTGGAAGAAGTTGAAGAGTGGCCCTGGCCAGACAGGGTAAACCAGGCCACTGTTCAGCCTCATCCGTCGATGTCCACATCGGCCTCTTCGTCATGGGAGATGCCGACAACTCCGCCTTTGCCTGAAAGCATGCCGGTCCCCTTTGACATGGATCGTCCGTGCACTCCCCTGCCACAAGCACAGAACAAGTTGCACGAGGGTGAAACAAGTGCGAACTGGTGGGAAGCAGTGAGAGACAAGCGGCAACTACGTGGACAAGCAGGCCCCCGACTTCCTTCCGGTCAAGGCCAACACGCCGAGGATGTGGGATTCACCTCTCGGTTTGGAACTGTGCGGGAGGGTCGCGACCGATGGCACCATGCAGATGGAACAGTGCGCAATCGCAGGCGGGAGAGACTCGCGAGTGAACAACACGAGGATGCCTTGAGGGTGGATACTGTCGGCGTTGTGAACACCTCAGCGGGAAACCAATGTGAGGCCACTTCGTCTTCTACCTGCACGGCCTCCTCGTGGGCGACTCCTACCTGGGAAACTGCTTCGTCATCTACCTGCACGGCCCCCTCGTGGGTGACAACGCCTTCTACATGGACGGCAAACATCTCGGCACCCTCGCCAGGGACTTCCGACCCGACGGCATGTGATGATGTGGCTGGGCAGAATGATGAGACAACGGACCGGAGAGAGGAAGAGATACTCAGCTTTCATGTCACGGGAGCCTCCTTTTCGTCTACGGGAGGAGCTCAAGTTCATGCAGTCACATTCTATGGGGAGAAGTTTCGCGTGGCGGCTGACCCCCAACAGATGGACCCTGTTCAGGACGACTCAACTACTGCGGGGGAAGAGGGCGATGATGTGGAGGAGGAGCATGATGGTGGCACAAGCTCGGACTCTTCCAACGCAGGCTTCTATCGCCAAGGAATATGGGTACCAAGACCGCGTACAAAAGAAGAGATGAGGAGACACCAAGGAGGACGCGGAGCTCAACGCCTCAAGAGACGGCACGAACGCATGCAACAATATCTTGAAGGCAACTGGAAGCCCTCTTGGTTGGTGACATACATGAAGGAGCGAGATGCCAGAAGGGCAGCTGGAGTACTTCCTCAGCTTCCTGAACATCAGGAGATGGAGCAAGAGCAGCCTTCGCATAATCCTACTGTACTTGCTGTTGACCTGCAGCCGGAGAACACGCCGGAGACCTTGACTACCCTATCCTCAACTACGAGTCGAAGCAAGCGTGAGGCATTCAGTCCAGCCGAAGTACACCACGCGCGCGGAGACTGGAATGATGATCAAGCCCCACATGAAGAAAGCTTGGAATGGGGGACAGCTTCCTGGAGCTCGACCTGGTGGAGTTCTTCTACCCCCACGGCCTCTACAAATTCTACGACATCTTCATGGTGGACATCCTCAGATACTGCAACGTCGTCGTCGTGGTGGACAACCGAATGGGATAACTGGCCACAGCAGGGACAACAACCCATGACGGAGGCGTTCCCCAATGCCTGGAGTGTTCCCTGGGGATATGGACGTGGGCAAGGCTGGAACTGGCAGGAAACCTCTACGTCCACGACCAGCACGAGCCAGGTCCTGCCGAACTTTGGTTTGTTTCCAGAAGTGAGACCCGCCCGACCTTACAGAGAGGACAATCTCATGGCACTTCGAGACTCTGAAATGGCGCTGCTTCAAGAGCATGGCGTCACGGGTGGAGTCATCCGCCGAGTTAGTGACCTACTACGTGCACTTGACGATCAACAGGAACGGGGACTAGGACCAGAGAGTCGTTGGGCACTTGCTCGCAACCTTGACAGAGTAAATGAAGCGCTTCAGGCAATGACGGGCATAGTTCATGTCCTTGGACGTCGCCTTCGACCACGGGGAGTTCTACCAGTACAACGGATTCCCGCAAGGGAAGTGGATCGACTTCGGGATTCGTCACTTCATGTGGGGGCGACAGTTCGGGTATATGTTACGAGATAGCATGGAGGTCTATCTTTCGATCTCGCTGCAACCAGGAGAAGGGGAAGGAGAAGCTGTTTCGCCGCCGTCCCAAGTGAACTCTGACGAGGAGGGTTCAGCAGCTAATGGGGGAATGGCTGAGCGGACCCGCTCACGATCTAGATCGAGAACCAGAGATGGCCGGCCTTCGTCAAACCACAGTTCCGGCGCTCCCTCAGACTGTGACAGCGAGTGGGCGCTCAACTCTGAGGGCGAAATGCAGCATATTCCTGCCTCCCAACCTGGCGACCCCGTGAATGGTCCTCCCCCTCCTGTACCTGTCAACCTACCTGTCAACCTACCTGCGGGCGCTGTCACCTTACCACCGACCGGAATCTGGCGGGAGCCTGAAATGGTGGAGGAGGAAGAGATCACGGAGCCAATGGGGGAAGTTACCACTACTGGGATGACTTCGGCGAGTCCGACTTCGACCTCTACTACTTCCATAACCCAGTGGTGGGCCATGGTGAAGAATGACGAGCTCCCTTGGCCTCTCAATGCGACGGATGATGGCCATCTACCTGCTTGCTGGTGGAAGGGGACAGGTGACTGGATGGATAATTTGCTCGGTGAGACTGTATCCCTGATGCAGCTGCAGGGAATCACTTTGGTCCAAGGATTTCGTCCTCGACAACCTCTACGACATCTACCACCTCCTCCGCTCCGGCAGCAACTGATCAGACTGGTGGCAACCGTCCGACTTGGCCCGCAGACCATGTTCGTGATTGTGTCAACACTGGCATGGTGCAAGGCACGAGGATTGACACCATGGAAGCGATTCGACGTATGCTCGACCGGCAGCGAAGGCTTATGCACATGGACCGCTTACTTCGTGACGCTGTGGAGGAGGCCCTAGGGTGGTTACAAGTACCCCCTTTCTGCGGTACCAATGAATGCGGGGATGCTTGAGCGCAACATCCTTGGAACCGTGACGCACGAGTCCACCTATGGTTCAGGTGCCTCTTCGTCTGCAGAGACTCACTGGGTGTCCAATCCGTAAGTGGTGTTGCAACCTGGTTTCCCGACTTCTACTGCCGAGGTAGCCCAGGTCTTGCCGCAGGCGCAACCCCACACGGTGCAGGGCTATCGTCGACGTGCCTGGAGGACTCACATGTCCAACCTCCACAGAGGCGAAGGCCGAGAGCCACCCGTTGGACACTGGCGTCCGGAGGACGACAGAGAGCTGGTCTTGGTACAAGGTTCACCTGAAATGCCGATCCCGAATTGGCCCGATGGTGAACTTGTTCCTACTACACCGTGGACGGGTCTACCTGGCCGTAGTGGACGTCGACGTGGACGTACTGCTCGCCCACGACCACGATTGGTACGGGCGGGCACGGAACCTCTGATGGAACTGGTATCGCCCTCTTCGGCTCAGTCCTCGTCGGCTACTCCATCTTTGTCTGTACCTGCACTTCATGGTCCCCACGCGACTTCTGGTCACCTTGCTCCTGGAGATGTTGTACTACCTGCACAAGCTGATTCTGGTCTACCTCATCCTGGCGATGCTGAACTACCTGTTCGGCCTGGACCTGTCGTCTCTGTTCCTGCCGATTCAGTCCAAGATGCTCGTCGTCGTCTTTCGCAGGGAGAGGATGTACCCTCACGTAGAGGTCGATCCAGAGAGTCAGCTCTTGAACGGGATCGGAGTCGGAGCCGTGATCGAATCGATGCGGATTGACCTGGTTGTGAGTCTGCACACTGAGAGGGATAGAGTGAACTTTCTTTCGATTGTCTTTTGGGCAGCCCAGTGCAAGCCCCGTTTGTGTGGCAGGCTGTGATCCTGCTTTGCTCTGCGGAGTGGAGAAATGGCCATTGCACTTAAAAAAAAAAATACCCCTAAACCCTCTAAACCCCAAACTCTTCCCCTGAAGCCTAAACCGCTAAACCCTAAACCCCTGAACCCTTAAACCCCCAAACCCCCAAACCCTCAACGCCTAAACCCTTAACCCTAAACCCCTTAATCCTAAACCCTGAAACCCTAAACTCCTAAACCCCAAACCCTTCCCTTGAAACCCTAAACCCCTAAACCCTTCGTCGACGGCTGGTACCTCAGGCGGGAAAAGGAGCTAAACAAAAAAAACTAAACCCCTAAACCCCCAAACCCTTCCCTTGAACCCCTAAACCCCTAAACCCCTAGGAGTGTCTGTCAATAGGAAGAGTCAGGTCCCGGCTGTGGACTGGTGCCCTGGCGCGGGGAGCCGGGGAGTCGGAGGCGCCTTGATGTTTACTTGGAGTATAAGGGGTTCCTTAAGGGCCCCTTTAAAGGGATCTATAGGATTCTATAAGGGTAGAGGGTTTAGGGTTTGGGGGACTTAGAAACTGGCTAATTTAGGGACTTACAAGTACCATAACCCCAATTAGGGTCCCTTTTGGGGTACTTATAAGTCTACTTACTAACTACTTACTAAGTCCCCCGACCCCCCAAGTAGGGGCTTTAGGGGGCCTTCAGGCGTTTTGAAGGTTGGGGGTTATAGGGTTTAGGTTGTTGTTAGGGCTTTAGGGCTTTAGGTGTTTTGCTGGGTTTGGAGTTTTAGGGGTCTTCCGGTTTTAGGGTTTAGAGTTTCAGGTTGAAGGGTTTTAGGGTGTAGGGGTTTAGGGGTCAAGGGGGCTGTATCTGCTTCACGGCTTGGTGGTTTTTGGTGGTTCATGGCGGTGTTGTTTACGCAGCTACGATTTCAAGTTTCGGGGTAAGGGTTTAGGGTGTGCAAAGCTCTGGAATTCAAGCCGAAATGGGTACACAGGTTGCAATTGTGGTTGAGGCATGCAAGGGCATGTTCTCCCAGCATGGAGTGGCAGGAGTGCTTCTTGGGCTTTCCATCGGCCTGTACGGTCAACATGCATGTGGAAATTTGCATCCAAGTGAAGGCCTGACAGCAGGATTGGACTTCTTCCCTCGCATTGCTGATGAGATGAATTCTGTTGCACTCGTGCAATGGCAGTCGTCCAGAGTTTACCCATCCTTGTTGCATATGTGTCGAGAATATTTGCGTTCATCTGAATCTGCAAAACCTCGCGGCTCTGGTTTCGCGGCAGTGCTCAAAATCACGTCTCCATTGCACCTCTGTGCCGTGAATTCATGAATACCACTGCACATGATTGGAGCCATCATGGTGTTTCAACATCTGGACGCACGCAGACCTGTCACTGTGCAGCATCAGGAGATGCCGGTTCCTGCAACTACCCTCTGCCTCAGCCGGCAAGAGCGAGAGCTCCTGGACGAGGTGGGGGTGCCAGAGGGGGCTAGGACATGGTTTTAAAGCGTGAATATGGATGACCGTCCCGAGTTGGGGCTGTTTAACATTGGCAACTCTTACGTATCTATTCGTGTCTACTTTGTAGCGGCTCAGCACTTCGCTTCATTCCCCAAGAACCTTGTGTGGAAGGTGGAGATCCACAGCAGCGCAGGGCTGCGGCACTTGGCACACGCCTCTTCGCACCTTCACGACGCACGAACCCGCCCCCGGCCGTGCATGTTGCTGTGCACATTGGAATTTCAGATCCGGGCCTGTGGAGTGGGTGCTCGTATGACGTGCATTGGCCTCTCTCGTTTTTTAGACAGTGGTTCTTCGTGTAAGCATCCTACGAATCCTACGTCTATTGCATTCTTGTTCATGGTCGCACTCTCGACCGGCTTGCGGAGCGTTACGGCTCATATCATAAACTGCAGCTGCACAACCGCACCGGACGCAGGAACATTCGTAGTGTGCAGAGCGCATAATAATATTATGCGCCTGCGTGCAAACAAGGACTGCCCCAGAGCGCGTGACGTCTCCATAAGCGGCATCACGCAAAAGACCCGACCTTGCAGACTGCTGTTGCCAAGCTCCGCTGGCTGCTTTCATGTTGTTCCTGCAACCGTAGCTCGCCATGTCCTCAGACGTCACTTTGAGCCGCCAGGAGCAGCTTGGCCACGATTCAGAAACCCAACCGCTATCTAGTCATAAAGCCCTAGAGCCTAAACCGCCTCCGTTTCTGCTTACCCGACTCTTGCTGACTACAGAGCGTAACTAAGAGTCTATAGCGTCTGGGCTCTTCTCTCCATGATGTGCTGGGATGACTTCCCGTGATTGGCCATCCTTATTCGACATTGCTTGGACAAGAAATCCCTCCCACCTTTCACCAAGCTCGTGTGGAGAAGTCTGCTTGAAAGTGCATGAGAGCTCGGAGTTAGCTGCAGTTGCTATTTGAGCAGCCTCTATTGTGCGATCTTCGCTAGTCAAGGCTTCATGTGTCGTTCGGCTCCTAACAGTGACATGTTCGATGCGCGAGAAAACCAAGCTGTGTGTGCCCTGCCAGCGGCGATGTCAAAAACGAGAGTGTGGCACAAAAGTCGGTTTTGTCAGAGTTACATCTCTGTATAATATTGCTGCTGCTGCAGCTGCTGCTGCTGCTGGAGCGGTTGCTGCTGCCGTCGCTGTCGCTGTCGCGGTCGTTGTTGTGGTTGTGGCTGTGTTGTTGTTGTTGTTGTTGTTGCTGCTGGTGCTGTTGCCGTTGCCGTTGCTGTTGCCGTTGCTATTGTTGTTGCTGCTGCTGCTGCTGCTGCTGCTGCTGCTGCTGCTCTTGCTGCTGCTCTTGCTGCTGCTGCTGGTGTTGTTGTTGTTGTCGTCATCCTGGCCGTCACCACCATAAACTGCGTCATGGTCATTATCGCCATCGCCCCGTTGCCATCATCACGAGGAGGAGTTTATTGGTTTTTCCATGAGTTTGTACTTGCCACACAGTCACTACATCTGCTCTTACTACCATGTTTCCTGCTGTCTTTTGCAGCCGACCGAAGGCACAGCCTCGCAGTTCTTTTCGAGGGCATCTACCAGGGCGTCCGACAGGCACTTGGGCGTCCTCTGGGATGTGAGCTTAAAGCGGCAAGTGGGAGCTTTCGCATGATGCGGGCTTAGAAGCGGCTTAGAGGGTTCAGAGTTGAGGAGTTTCGATAAGGACTGAATGGTTTCAGGGCTCAGGTTTTGTGGTGATAGCCACATAAGACGTAGTTATACCTCTGCTCACAAGAAGCCAGATGCCACCCAAGACAGTGAATGGAGCAAATCCATCGCCCTGCACCCGGTCCCGCCTGAGGTGGCGGAGTGTGCGCAGAAGCTACAAGAGCTGCTGCCCCATGAGGCGTGCATTGTGCTTGTTCGCGCATCACGACTAAAGATATGGCGATGTATTGTGCGACAGGATTCTCGATCGTTTCTCTTGTGGTATGATTTCAATGAGGCGAGGTCAGCCGAGCCCATAGGCCCCAAAGGAGTTCCTTTTTGAGAATTACCTTATAGGATTCTAAATATGAACCCCAAAAAGGAACTACTTTGGGGCCTCAGCCGAGAGCTTCAGCTGGGTCAGGCCGACTCGCCACTCTCCCCTTCCAGAATCTCACTGCCGCAGCTACCTGTGCGTCGCAAGGCCAGGAGTGCTCGCTCCATGCTTCGAGTAGTTGAGAGGTTTGCCAGTACAGTAGCCATGTGGGAGTTTCCGAAAACAGGGGACTCTACCATAGCACCCTAAATATTAGGATCCTTATTATAAGGACCCCAAAATAAGGTACCCCTAATTTCGGAAACTCCCATGTCAACATGTAACTGCACATCACACACTGCTGGCCTGAAGCGCCTCCGTTTTCAAACGGTCCTCAAACGCGAGTTGGGGGGTTTCGGGACTGAGGGTGCAGCTTTTGGATGGGAGGCGAGCCGAATGAGCGACCAGACCGTACCCTAGCCTGCATCACCTGCGCCTGCGGTTCGTTTCTACAACCTAAATATGGGGGTTTCCGAAAATTAGGGGTGTACCTTATTTTGGGGTCCTTATAATAAGGATCCTACTATTTATGGTATTAAGTATACACTAGGGTCCCCTTATTTCGGAAACTCCCATATCGAAGCTGTTTATAGCCCCTGTGCCTTGCCAGGGTTCCCACGAGTCGACAGGCATGGGCCATGTTTTGCAGTGAAGTTCAGGCGTAAGGGTGCGGGTCGTCGTGCCTTCAAAGAGTGATAGCACCAGGAACAGCGACGACAGCGAGCACAGTACTACAGGGGCCTTAATAATTACCAATGCTATTTTGGGGGTTCTTTATAATTATAAGAATTGCAGTATAATGGCCCTAACAGTAGCAGCAACGATAGGTGATAGTGCGATGAGGGTCCCAAAAATTCTCACAGGGTTCGAGCCTTGCCCTTCCGCTCCGTGAAGCCGGCCAAACCCAACTAGAAGGATGCTACTTGGAGGTTCATGGGTAGTTATACGTGGGGTTATAAGTAAGGTAACCATAATTATAACCCATATTAGGACGTATAACTCCACTTATAACCACCTATGAACTTCCAAGTAGGAAAGGCAGGGTTAGTTGGTGTGCTGTCTCCGTCACTTCGGAGCAGTAGCACTGGAGTTAGCAGTAGCGGTAGCAGTCGGCGGAGGAGCAGTAGTAGTGGCAGCAGCAGCAGCAGTAGTAGTGGCAGCCGGAGTAGAACTACTAAGTTACTAGGAGGACGGCGAGGAGGAGGTGTACGTTGGCCAGCCTTATTTGTGTTGTATTTTGTACCGGTATTTACGATGGTTTCGCAACCTCCCCCAACTCCGACTTCAGTGTGTGCTTCGTGACCTGGGTTGTTAGACTGTCACTTTTTCACTCTCACTGTTTGTTGCCTGGGGTTGTCTCACGTTCGGCATGTTTTTTGACGTTCAGACAAGTGTTCGCATGCCTGCAGTGTCTCGCTTTGCAGGGTTTTCTTGCTTCCAGTATCTGCACGATTGTTTTTTGAGGAGGGGCAAACCGTACTGTCGTGATGTCCGAATAACAACACAATCCCGAGCTGGATTTCGGACGTCTGCAAATTCGAAATCGTTGCAAACAACATGCCCAATACTTGGGTGATCAAGACGATTTACTAATTTACATGATCACGATCGCGATGATGATGGTGGTGATGATGATGTTGGCCGTGATGATGATTATGATGATGATCTCCGCCCATGACCTGCGCCACTGGCAGGAGGGCGAAGTGCACCTCGGCAGCTTCATCCCTTACTTACAGTTCTGCATGTGCAGCACATCAGGGCACAGTTTCGAGGTTTAACGCTCTGGACATGTTGCTCGGAGTTCCGGGCCATGGCGTCTCTGTAAATGCACAAATTGAAGTTATGCCACCGGAAAGATGCAGCATGCCGACAGTGTCCCGATCAGCAGCTGAAGGTCCCAGAGACTTTGGCTACATAGAAAAGCGCAGGTTCAAGAACCAATACCTCCCGATGGCAGCTATTCCTGAGAAGCGCACCCTCAAGCAGCATGTACACATTAGGCCACACATTAACAGGAAACCCTCTGCAGACCTGGAGTGTTGCTTCGTGTCGCACGTCCTTTCATAGCAAGAGTCTACCCTAAGGCCCCTTTCTGTGGTGCACATTTAGAATCCTATAAGGTAATCCCAAAAAGGAGCTACTACTGTATGGGGCCTTGGGGTAGACTTCAGCCTGACAAGCCTGATCCTCTGGCTGCGGTCTCCTCAGGCGAGCATCCGAAAGCAGGTGAGCTTCAAGGGAGATCCCCAAGCGGCTGCCTCGGAGCAGCGAGGGATCCGGGGAAGGGTATATCTGGGGACACAAACGAAGATGCTGGTGCTGACGGTGATGGTGATGATGATGATGATGCTATTTCGCGAGGATGACAGTGTCTGTGGTCTGTGGTGAGGAAGACAAAAAGACTGGGATGAGAGCAGCTTCGCTTGCCCTTGGTGTGCAGAAGAAGGCCACAAGACAAAGAAAGCCGCAATCCTTTCGAGAATCTCTTGGCACTCTGTGCTCTTGTGCAATGCCGGGACTGGACCACAAGGCATGAAGCACATCAGACCAAGGATCACTCATGAAACCGCCAAAAGAAGCGCTCAAATGTCCCGCACGCCGGATCCTCGACGTCCACAGTCCACTTACAGATGCTAGCAGCAGCATACAACGACGAGCCATCGTGACTGTCAGACTTGGCGTGGTCTGGAAGGGCCGAGGTGCACAATCGACTCTATGAAAGTCCTCAGGTGTCCTCAGGTTTTGAGCCTCCAATCTAGAACACCTCAAGCCACGCAGCAACGCCGTAAATGGAAGCAGCCTGGTCATGAGGCAGAAATTCAAGGGTCAATGGTCCTGGAAACCTACTCATGTTCTGAACATTGAGAACGAATCCCTGTCCGCCCTCCTAAAGCAGATAGAACAAGCGAGGACAAATCGCCCGACGTTGAGGTTGACTCAGGCGGGGTTTGCATATTGAGAGGGAGTGGGGGGGGGCATGAGTGTGGCATCGGAGTGTTCGTCCATCCAGTTCATGCTGTTGTTTATGAAATCCGGATGTGGAGTGGGACATGCTATTCCTCAGTATGACAGCCATCGTCACTGAATCGTCTCCCACGTTCCGTATGCAGTGGTCGTCGTACCTGCAGAACTGATTGTTCTTATTGTTGTCATGATTCTTACTAATACTAACAGTAGTAGTAGCAGTAGGAGGAGGAGGAGGAGGAGTCAATAGGTAGCAGGTAGTAGCATGTAGTAGTCAGTAGGCAGTAGCAGCAGGCAGCAGTAGTAGTAGTAGTAGTAGTAGTAGTAGTAGCAGTAGTAGTAGTAGTAGTAGTAGTAGTAGTAGTAGTAGTAGTAGTAGTAGTAGTAGTAGTAGTAGTAGTAGTAGTAGTAGTAGTAGTATAGTGGTAGTAGTAGTAGTAGTAGTAGTAGTAGTAGTAGTAGTAGTAGTAGTAGTAGTAGTAGTATTGTAGTAGTAGTAGTAGTAGTAGTAGTAGTAGTAGTAGTAGTAGTAGTAGTAGTAGTAGTAGTAGTAGTAGTAGTAGTAGTAGTAGTAGTAGTAGTAGTAGTTAGTAGTCCTCGTCGTTGTGGTCGTCGTCGGCGTTGCGGTCGTCGCCAAATATAAAAATTCCCGGCCCCCGGAATTTCGCGGCTTCGGGAC